GTGCTCAGATTTGCAAAAACATAGCAGATAGAAAATGTCGATATGACTCTTGTGTTGTATTTGTTAAAAACGTGGTAAAAAAAGTAGCTAAGTTAAAGCTAGATATCAAACGATGTTATGAGGTTTGATGCTATGAAGTTATGGAGACTACTGTTTGGGGGAAAGGTGAGACAAAAAGTCCTATAAGAAAACACCTAACTATAATCTATATAAGGATCAACCACCTAATCAAGTAATTGAGAACCTCACACCCTTCATCTTTTCCTTTTCTCCCGTTCTCCATAATGCGCAGTCGAATATCGCATAGGAATCAACTGAGGTCCTGCTATGATCCCTTCGTTCCTCTCTTTCCTGGATTAACCTATTAAAAGGTTAATTAGAGATTGGAGAAGGGAAACTCTCCGTCTGCACGTAGTTTCTCTGTTTTTTGTACTCGTGTTCTAGTTGTTTTGATCCCTTGTATAAGAGGTGGATAATGTAATATGCTTGGCTGTTCGCACGCGAGCTTCTGCGCTGGTATTTTTTTCCTTTTTTTTCTTTTTTTTTGAGCTGGGTCTCCATCGTGTTGCCAGGTGAGTTCACAGTTGCCGTTGGTTGTCCCCAGCTTGTTCCTCACAGAAATACTTCTTTGTGTGCATAGGCGATCTCCTGCCTCAGGCCATTCTCTTTGCCGGCTCTATTTTTGTCGTACGATCCAACCGGGACTCGACCTTCGTGTACTTCCTCTTCATTATCCTCATCTAATAATTATTTCATCACTCCTATAAATTATAAGTGTGTTCCAATCATCATCTATGTTAGATTATTATGCTGAGACTGTCTTCACTCTTTTATTGTTTCACCATGATTTTTGATTATCCGGTCTTGTGAAGCTCTTCTTTCAGGCCTCTGTCTCCTTTTATACCTCTTTAGTGAGATAGCATAGCTTCGCCTCGGCTCTTCCGATGATTATAAATTTATCAGGCATTGGAATGTGTCTGCTGATCAAAAAAAAAAAAAAAAACCACAATCATGATGCTAATGTGAATACTTAGCAAGAGTGAAATCTGAGCCTCATGGTGTATCTGGGGGATGGCTTGATTAAGGTGGTAAAAATAAAGTTAAAGCTAGATCTCAAACCTTAACTGTTCCACCTTACATCTGTTTCCTTCCTTCTCCCTATCCTATAGGTGACACCAAATGCAGCCAGAAACCACTGGTGAAGAGCCATATTAAGCCCTGCCTGGTTAACCTCTAACAAGGTTATTAGAGAATTGGGAGAGGCTCAAATCAGCGTCTCGAGTGTGGTTATGAAACCTTTGTGAAGTCTTGGTAAGTGGTCAGTGGCTTTGGTGGGCTTACCTAGTTAGTGGGAAGGAGCAAGGAAGGTGGTCTTTCTTTTCTTTTTTTTTTTTTTTTTTTGAGACAGAGTCTCACTGTGTTGCCCAGGCTAGAGTGCCGTGGTGTCAGACTAGCTCACAGCAACCTCAAACTCCTGGGCTCAAGCGATCCTCCTGCCTCAGCCTCCCGAGTAGCTGAGACCACAGGCATGCACCACCATGCCCGGCTAATTTTATATATATATTAGTTGGCCAATTCATTTCTTTCTATTTATAGTAGAGACGGGGTCTCGCTCTTGCTCAGGCTGGTTTCGAACTCCTGACCTCGAGCAATCCGCCCGCCTCAGCCTCCCAGAGTGCTAGGATTACAGGCGTGAGCCACTGCGCCCGACTTATATATTTTTAGTTGGCCAATTAATTTCTTTCTATTTTTAGTACAGACGGGGTGTCGCTCTTGCTCAGGCTGGTCTCGAACTTCTTTTTTATTTTTATTTTTTTTTTGAGACAGAGTCTCGCTTGTTGCCCAGGCTAGAGTGAGTGCCGTGGCGTCAGCCTAGCTCACAGCAACCTCAAACTCCTGGGCTCAAGCAATCCTTCTGCCTCAGCCTCCTGAGTAGCTGGGACTACAGGCATGCGCCACCATGCCCGGCTAATTTTACATATATATGTTAGTTGGCCAATTAATTTCTTTCTATTTATAGTAGAGACGGGGTCTTGCTCTTGCTCAGGCTGGTTTCGAACTCCTGACCTCGAGCAATCCGCCCGCCTCGGCCTCCCAGAGTGCTAGGATTACAGGCGTGAGCCACCGCGCCTGGCTGGGAAGGTGGTCTTAATAGGCACTAGACAATTACTGGATGTTTTCCTATTGTGAGGTAAAGAAAAACCTCAAAATATTCAGGCTATACTGTGAAATAAAGAGTCTAACCTCTCCTTTTCTAAACATTCTCCCATTTGGAGATAGGGGAATTGGAAATTGTCCCAAGATTATAGCTACTTGGTGTAGAAAATGGATTTGATTCTAAGCCTGTACTGTGTGTTCTACCCAGTGCTTCTTCTAGATTCCAACAAATTCAAGGAGGCCATGTGAAACAGAAATGTTTTTATTTCATGCTGAAAGATTTTTATAGTAGCTTCTAAAGTTGCACTTATTTGATGATGGAAATTTCCAAGGTGTAAAACTTTATTATGCGTGAAATCACCTGGGGTGCTTGTTAAGCGTACAGATTCCTGGGTACCCAGAAATCTTGTCATTGGTTAAGAGCAACATAAATAACTGCCTGTTACTCATAGCGACGCTTCCTGCCCAGCAAATTCACCAGAGAGCCGGGATGAATGAATCACTGTTACTATGGATGTCCTTGCGAAGCAGTTGGAAAGCCTTGGTAAGTTGTCAGGTCTTGGAGGGGTTCCTCAGTTGGCAGAGAAGAGAAGGAAAAGTGGTCATGATGTGGTACTTCCAGCCTTTCTTCAACAAATACTTCTTTAGTACTTACTAAGTGCCAGAAACTCTTCTAGACATCACCAAGGTCCTGCTATCATGGAACTTTCATTCTTGTGAGGTGGGAAAAAAAAAAAAAAACAATAAATATATGATGTGTCTTAAGTGTTATATCAATTTCTTTTTCCCAATTTGATGTGGAACATTTTTTTTTTCTTTTTTTTTTGAGACAGAGTCTCGCTTTGTTGCCCAGGCTAGAGTGAGTGCCGTGGCGTCAGCCTAGCTCACAGCAACCTCAAACTCCTGAGCTCAAGCGATCCTCCTGCCTCAGCCTCCCGAGTAGCTGGGACTACAGGCATGCGCCTCCATGCCCGGCTCATTTTTTCTATATATATTAGTTGGCCAATTCATTTCTTTCTATTTATAGTAGAGACGGGGTCTCGCTCTTGCTCAGGCTGGTTTTGAACTCCTGACCTCGAGCAATCCGCCCACCTCGGCCTCCCAGAGTGCTAGGATTACAGGCATGAGCCACCACGCCCAGCCTGATGTGAAAAATTGCATGTAAAAATGGTTGGGTTAAACGAAGCAACCTCTAATGTTTTTCTCCCCTCTTCCCATTCTCCCTGTTAATACCTGCCACTGTCTCTCCCTGTAGTGGAGGCTGACCAAGCTGAGTGTGGACAAGGCCATAGATGATGCAAACAGTCTTTTTTTGTTTTGCAATCTCTCACCAGGCTGGACTGTGAAGGATATCTTTGAAAAGTGTTTTACAGTCCACCAGATCTTCTATGTTAGCGACTGCACAGCAGAAGAGGGGAGTCTTCTCAGTGATTAAGGTAACACAGTGATTACAGGTAAGTTGGGGAGGCGGGACTGACTTTGCCCTGATTCCTGTCAGGGAGGCTTCTAGAAATGCCATTTCCAGAGCACAAGTGACAGGCTAGTATTTTCAAAGCCTGCAACTTAGTCTATGATATATCCTTCTCAAAACAATCTGGGTAGATTATATGCTTACCCAGTCAGTGAGCACGTCTGCTGAGGGTCAACTGAAATAGTTCCCAAGTAAGCTAGGTGGCATAAGCTCCTGTTTTTATGACTGTTTTGTTGGAACACAGTCATGCTCATTCACTATTGTCTGTGGCTGCTTTCATGCTACAGTAGAGTTAAGTAGGTACGACAGAAACCACGTGCTCCGCAGAGCCTGCAGTATTGCCATCTGGCCCTTCACAGAATGTGTGCCAACTCCTGGCATAGGTGAATGTACTATATCCACAAATCCTCCTCCCTCCATTTTCTTTTTCATGGGCTTGTGTTTATAGCTGATCCTAGAAAGTATGCAATCTCACAGTATCCGGTTTGCTTCCAGAATTTCTTCCCACTCAAATTAAGCTCACCAAGAAAGCGAATTCACAAAATGGGTTATATCTGCAGCAAGAATATGTTATATATGCTTTGTTGAAAAATGGTCACGTGTCAGCCCCACAATAAGCTCCAGAACCTCCATCCTGAGGACAAAAGTCAGTTTTATTCCTCGAATAGTCTAAGAACAACGGGGACTTAATTTCTCTTCCAATTCATGTCTAAGCATTCCTAAAGTAGGCTCTAGAAGGCTTTTTTTTTTTTTTTTTTTTGAGACTGGGTCTCACTTTGTTGCCCAGGCTAGAGTGAGTGCCATGGCGTCAGCCTCGCTCACAGCAACCTCAAACTCCTGGGCTCGAGCAATCCTCCTGCCTCAGCCTCCAAATTAGCTGGGACTACAGGCATGCACCACCATGCCCAGCTAATTTTTTCTATATATTTTTAGTTGGCCAATTGATTTCTCTCTATTTTTAGTACAGACTGGGCTCGTTCTTGCTCAGGCTGGTTTTGAACTCCTGACCTTGAGCGATCTACCTGCCTCAGCCTCCCAGAGTGGTAGGATTACAGGCATGAGCCACTGTGCCAGGCCGGCTCTGGAAGTTTTAGTGTCTGGAGAGAGACATTCACCAAGGATGAAGGAAATGGCCACTTAACAGTCCCTAGGTAAAAAGCAGTCCATTTTACGTAAAAACCTTTGATCTCTTTCTTTTTCTTTCTTTTTTTTTTTTTCTTTGAGACTGGGTCTCACTTTGTTGCCCAGGCTAGAGTGAGTGCCATGGTGTCAGCCCAGCTCACAGCAACCTCAAACTCCTGGGCTCAAGCGATCCTTCTGTCTCAGCCTCCCAAGTAGCTGGGACTACAGGCATGAGCCACCATGCCCGGCTAATTTTTTCTATATATATTAGTTGGCCAATTAGTTTCTTTCTATTTATAGTAGAGAACGTCTTATTTTTGAGTTCTTTTTTCCACTGATTTTTATTTTCTTATTTTTATTTTTTTATTTTATCATATTATGGGGGTACAAATGTTAAGGTTATGTATTTTGCCCATCCTCCCGCCTCCACTGATTTTTAATCTATCATAGCTTACAGATATTTTCCCCAGTTTGAGCCATAAGTGATTAATTCTTATGTAGCTCAAATAGCTTTTTCTTCATGGTTTATTCTCCAGTTGTATTTCACAATATGAAGGTGAATATATTTTCTTATAGTTCATAATTCATTTATACATTTTATTTATTTTTAAATATAAATCTTTCCCATTGCTGATCTCTTTTTGTGTGGTATGTAATTAATTTTCTAAATGTCGAATACATTCAGGGTTTGGAAGTTGTAGTAAGGGTACTCACGGTGATCTCAGCAGTAGGAATTTCACAATCTTTTCTCCAGTGCTCTGTTTTTTTTTTCTTTTTTTTGAGACAGAGTCTCACTGTGTTGCCCTTTTTTTTTTGACAGAGTCTCACTTTGTTGCCAGGCTAGAGTGAGTGCCTTGGCGTTCTAGCTCACAGCAACCTCAAACTCCTGGGCTCAAGCAATCCTCCTGCCTCAGCCTTACGAGTAGCTGGGACTACAGGCATGCGCCACCATGCCCGGCTAATTTTTTCTATATTATATTAGTTGGCCAATTAATTTCTATTTATAGTAGAGACGGGGTCTCGCTCTTGCTCAGGCTGGTTTCGAACTCCTGACCTTGAGCAATCCGCCTGCCTCAGCCTCCCAGAGTGCTAAGATTACAGGCCTGAGCCACCTTGCCCAGCCTCCTTTGATATTTTAGTTTGTATTTCTTTGATTCTCAATGAGATAGAAAAGATGAGAATATTTGTTGCGTCTTTTTTTTTTTTTTTTTTTGAGACAGAGTCTCACTTTGTTGCCCAGGCTAGAGTGAGTGCCGTGGCGTCAGCCTAGCTCACAGCAACCTCAAACTCCTGGGCTCAAGCGATCCTTCTGTCTCAGCCTCCCAAGTAGCTGGGACTACAGGCATGAGCCACCATGCCCGGCTAATTTTCTATATATATTAGTTGGCCAATTAGTTTCTTCTATTTATAGTAGAGAACGTCTTATTTTGAGTTCTTTTTTCACTGATTTTTATTTTGTTATTTTTATTTTTTATTTATCATATTATGGGGTACAAGTGTTAAGGTTATGTATTTTGCCATCCTCCCGCCTCCACTGATTTTTAATCTATCATAGCTTACAGATATTTTCCCCAGTTTGAGCCATAAGTGATTAATTCTTATGTAGCTCAAATAGCTTTTTCTTCATGGTTTATTCTCCAGTTGTATTTCACAATATGAAGGTGAATATATTTTCTTATAGTTTATAATTCATTTATACTTTTATTTATTTTAAATATAAATCTTTCCCATTGCTGATCTCTTTTTGTGTGGTATGTAATTAATTTTCTAAATGTCGAATACATTCAGGTTTGGAAGTTGTAGTAAGGGTACTCACGGTGATCTCAGCAGTAGGATTTCACAATCTTTTCTCCAGTGCTCTGTTTTTTTTTTCTTTTTTTTGAGACAGAGTCTCACTGTGTTGCCCAGGCTAGAGTGAGTGCCGTGGCGTCAGCCTGACTCACAGAACCTCCAACTCCTGGGCTCAAGCGATCCTCCTGCCTCAGCCTCCCAAGTAGCTGGGAGTACAAGCACACGCCACCATGCCCGGCTAATTTTTTGTATATATTTTTGGTTTGCCAATTAATTTCTTTCAGGGGTCTCTTTCTCAGGCTGGTTTCGAACTCCTGCCTTGAGTGATCTGCCCGCCATCTCCCGACGGTGCTAGGATTACAGGCGTGCCATATGGTGTTTGTATTGTTGTGTGAAAGCAGCTATAGACAATACAGAATGATGAATGAGTGTGGCTTGCTTATGGCCCTCATGCCTCACTTCTGCATTATGTTGGCTTTCTGTGTATCCTTTCAGCTTCAATTCCTTTTGCTTACTGTGATTACTTTTTTTTGAGACTGAGTCTCACTTTGTTGTCCAGGCTAGAGTGAGTGCCGTGGCGTCAGCCTAGCTCACAGCAACCTCAAACTCCTGGGCTCAAGCAATCCTCGTGCCTCAGTCTCCCGAGTAGCTGGGACTACAGGCATGCGTCACCATGTCCGGCTAGTTTTTTCTATATATATTAGTTGGCCAATTAATTTCTTTCTATTTATAGTAGAGATGGGTCTCGCTCTTGCTCAGGCTGGTTTCAAACTCCTGACCTCGAGCAATCCACCACCCTCAGCCTCCCAGAGTGCTAGGATTACAGGTGTGAGCCACCGTGCCTGGCCTTAGTTGACCAATTATTTCTTTCTATTTATTAGTAGAGAGGAAGTCTTGCTCTTGCTCAGGCTGGTTTCGAACTCCTGACCTCGAGCAATCTGTCCCCTCAGCCTCAGAGGCTAGGATTACAAGCATGAGCCACTGCACCTGGCCTTGATTAGTGTGATTACTTTTGATAGTACAATTCCAATTCCTGAGAACACAAATTTATTAGACCTGTCATATCCCACTTTAGTTAGATACTTGTATACCAGCAGCAGCAGTTTATAGATCTTTTGTGTTGTGCAGTTAATATGGCAGTTGCTCTCAGGCTGTGCTTCTTTTAGTCTTTTTCTTGTAGCTTCTAATATATCTGTTAACAACTGACTTCTTTGTCCTTTATTTCAGGGATTGTATTTGCAAATGATGGCAGGCAGGATCCAAATGCATAAATGCGTAAGATGGTTCTTGTATTCATTCTCTTCTTTTTTCTTGAAACACTGCCTTTTGGTAGGGGGTGCTTTTCTTTTGTTTATCCATCTTTGATAGAGACTTCTCCATAGATAGAGGGGAAGTTTCTCTAAAATATAAACAAGAGTGTAAGTGGGATGGTAAAGGACAACTGACACTTTGGTTTTTGTTTTGGTTTTTTTTTTGTTTTTTTTTTGAGACAGAGTCTCACTTTGTTGCCCAGGCTTCAGTGAGTGTGGTGGCGTCAGCCTAGCTCACAGCAACCTCAAACTTCTGGGCTCAAGCAATCCTCCTGCCTTAGCCTCCTGAGTAGCTGGGACTACAGGCATAGGCCACCCGGCTAATTTTTTCTATATTATATTAGTTGCCAATTAATTTCTATTTATAGTAGAGACGGTCTCGCTCTTGCTCAGGCTGGTTTCGAACTCCTGACCTTGAGCAATCCGCCCGCCCCGGCCTCCCAGAGTGCTAGGATTACAGGCGTGAGCCACCGCGCCCGGCCAACAACTGACACTTTTAAGCAGATGGTAGGGAGGATTTGGGATTGTGGTCATTTGGAATATAGACATTTCATCCAAAGGGAAGGCTTTAGTGCTTGGCTCTTGCTGATTGTTGTCTAGTGGAAATGTGGCCTCAGATTGCCAGGATTTCCAGCTGTCTGCAAAGAACCTAATTGGCTTTAGTTTTTTTTTATTTTTATTTTTTTGAGACAGAGTCTCACTTTGTTGCGCAGGCTGCCGTGGCATCAGCCTAGCTCACAGCAACCTCAAACTCCTGGGCTCAAGCGATCCTCCTGCCTCAGCCTCCCGAGTAGCTGGGAGTACAGGCCTGCGCCACCGTGCCTGGCTGATTTTTACATATATATTAGTTGCCCAATTAATATCTTTCTATTTATACTAGAGACGGGGTCTTGCTATTGTTCAGGCTGGTTTCGAACTCTTCACCTCAAGCAATGGATTGCCTCAGCCTCCCAGAGAACTAGGATTACAGGCTTTAGCCACCAAGGTTTTTTTTTTGTACTCCCTCCCTCATGGCTTTAATTTTTTGGGGCTTCAATTTTTTTTAAATGCTTCAGGCTGACAGATTATGTTTAGAAATGCTTTTATAACCTTATAGCTTCTGCTTCCTCTTAATTTTCGCTTATTTGTAATGTTACCTTTTTCCCATGTGGTATAAAACATGGGTATATATCACTACCTGTTTAACTAGTGTTATATTTGAGATTTACAAGGCCGCAGGACAGAGAGACAGAGTCACTGAGGCTGTAGTTATTAAAAGGAGTTTTATTGTCTAGCTCGAGCTAGGGTCTAAGCCCCCAGAGTGCCAGCACAGTGACCTCTTTTCTGGGCAGGGACCCTCCTTTGTGTGTTAGTCTCTTTTTATAACTTAGTTGTTTACACACTGGTCATGTATCTGCCCCCACAGTGATTTTTATTTCAGCCTGCCCCTGATAGGCCTTAACCTGAT